ATGCTCCAAAATCCCTGGTAGATGCCTAAGACCACAGGTACTTCCAAACCAAACACTATTTTTCCTGTTTATATGCCTATTGAAAGTTTAATTTATAAATTAGGCACAATAAGACAATAACAATACAAATAAAATTTAAGTTATGACAGTATACTATAATAAAAAGTTACGTGAATTTTCTCTTTCCTATTCTCCCTTCCCCTCCCTTCTTCCCCCCAAAAATATCTCATTTTGTATCTATCCTTCTTCCTGTGATGGTAGCAATTTCTGTGAGATGATACATTGTTTACATGAGATGAAGTGAGGTGAAGGCATTGTAACATAACACTTGAACACAAGCACTGTAAAACAGTAATACCTCAGTTTACAAACCCTTCTATTTGCAAATACTTTGGTTCATAAAAATCCCTTTGCAAACTTGATGTCAGGTGACACACATGACCACAGCCATCTTCCCACATGAACACAAACATAGCCATCTTCCTCAAAATCTTAAAACAAATTAAGTTCATAAACCATGGTACCACTGTACCTTGGACAGTTGATTTGATCTCTCAGACAACTATTAAGTGATTAGTGGGCAGATATAGTATATTGCTTAGACAACCTGGATAAAGAGATGATTCATGTCCTGAGTGGGATAGAGTGAGATTTCATCCTGTGATACTCAGTTTAGAAGTTATTTTTCATGTAACATTTTCATCTGCTTTGACCATAACCGCAGGAGGTGATAACTGGAAGAAGGGACTACATAAGCTGGATTTTGACTGTTAAAGCTACCTTGCATTTCTGTGATTAATTTTATTTAGTTTTGATATAAAATCGTGTTTGTATGTTGCCAGATAGATTTCCAGTGAAACCATCTATACACACAGGTGCTTTTTGAGGGAAGTTTTAAATTACTGATTCAATTTTTTTGCTTATAATAGGTTCATTTAAATTTTCTATTTCTTATTTGTCCATTTAGTAATTTGTCCATTTCATCTAAGGTATCTTACTTGTTGGCATACAGTTAATTTTTAGTTTTCCTTAAAATTTCTATAAGATCAGTTAAATCTCTGCTTTATTTTGGTTTTGATAATGGGAGTCTTCTCTCTTCTTTTCTCTCTCACCTTACTTTGCTTCCAGTCAGTATGACTACACATTTGTCAATATTGTTGAAATTATTTCCTCAGTGAGCTTACTTTTGATTTTATAGTCTTCACTATTTCCTTCCTTTTACTTGCTGTGGGTTTACTCCCCCCCCCCTTTTCATCTTCTCTCTTCCTCTCTGCCCCCAAGTAACTGGAATTACAGGCATGTGCCACCAATCCCAGTTAAGATTGTTGATTTGAGTTTTTGCTTCTTTTCATGCCATTTTTTAAAGGTACTTAAGTTTCCCTAGCTGGGATTACAGGCATGTGCCAGCAAGCCCTGTTAAGTTGAAATTATTGATTTGAGATTTTTATCCTTTCTATACCATTTGTCAGCGGTTCTTAAGCTTCCTTAGCCAGTTAAATTTTTACTCTTACTGTTGGGTATGTGTATGGATTGGATATTGTTAACCATGTAGTTCAAGGAGCTCACATTTATTTGTCATAGCTTAGGATTTTGTCTCTCATTGTTTCCCAAAAGATACAGCTTTGGGCATTCATAGTTTTCCAGCCTTCTAAATATGATTATATCACTTCTCAGCCTTTTGGCTGACATCATGTGTAAATATGATTGTGATTTTACTTTTAAGCTTGGCTTCTGTTGCCCTTGGGTGAAAGAGCTTCTTGTTCAGTCAGTGTTTTATCAGGGACTGTGTGCCAGTTATGCTTCTTTACTGTGTTGATGTGTCTGTGTGTAAGTAGGGCAATCCTTTCTAGTCCATCACACATCCTGCTCAGATTTCCTGAGTAGACACAGCCAACAGGTGTACACATCCTATCTCCAGAGATGACTGAGCTCCCACATAGCCTCCATTTGGATTTTTCCTTGATTCTTTCTGTAAAGCTTTTGGTTGCCTTGCCTTTTTGCTTGTATGAAAGACCTACCATCCTCCTCTCAGTTATTCAAAAGATCTTCATTGTTTTAAAAAATGTTTATAAGTATGAAGTCTTCCCCATTCTATTGTAAATAGTGTCCTTAGATAGAGCTTGTGATACCCTTTCCCTCTGGACAGCATCCCCGTTCTACTTTACTAGAAGAGCTATTTCACTTTTTCAGTAAGTGCTAGAGAAGTGGCAGTAGTGATCCCTCATCTTGTTCAGTTGTACTGTCATGGAAACTTTGCCCTTTAAGCCAGCTGGGGTAGAGACTATTAGCATCTTAGCCTGCTATGTCTAGAGTCTCCATCTTACTTTGGCATCTTGGGGAGGAAGGGAAACAAAGTTCTTTTGGTTCTGCCCAAATACAGAGCTGCATCTGGAGACTAGATAAGAAAGGCCACCAACCACCTATCCTTCTGGTCTTCCACACAACCCTAGACTGGAAGCTTTGGTGATCTTGGTTTTTTACCTGTCTAGATTTCCTGGGTAGATTCTCCTTAGTATGGAGGTATGGTGATGGGGAAAAGAAGTAGGTCCTTGCTTTCTCTCTCCCTCTTTTCAGACTTCACTCTCTGGAAGGCAGTCACTATGTGCAGACCACATCTGGAAAGGGGAAGTTATGCATCTATAAATCCTTTTCCCTACTAGGATATAGTCACATAAATTATTTTGGATTTTTTTTTAATTGAGTTTATTGGATCAATCTAGGTATATAATACAGTTACATTCATCATTGGGATTCTGTACCTTTACATAATAGGTCTTGATTCTCATTTTTAAAATTTTGCATGAGCGAGTTCTCTATCAGTGTGTAGACTCTTACTGATCAAATCCTTTTCTTCAGCCATTGGTAGCTCTTAAGACAGCTTTATATTTCTTTAATATATTGCCAGTAATGCAGGCTTTTGATTTATTTTGTTTTTAGCATGTCTTCTATTTTCTAGCACTATAATATGTAGATTAGTAATTCCTTGCTCTTCACAAATCTTCATTCATCTTTTGCATGTATATGCACAGACAATCATTTCATAGATTTAATTCATTGTCATGACACTGGGGGGTCTTTATGTGTTCACTTTTGAGTATGTTAACCTGTTACCTGAATCTGAGCTTTCACCTGAATCATGTTGTGCCTATTGGGTAGTGACCTTTTCTAATGCTGTTTTCACAAACTGAATTTTCTTGTCCTCTTTGTTAGATGAAAAATTGTAGCTCATTGTATGGTTTTATTAAATTTCTTTAATTATGAGTAAGGTTGAACCATCTTTATTTTCATTGGCCATTTGTATGACCATCTAGTCATAGTCCTTCCTAGTTTTTCTATTAGAATATTGGTGTTTTCTTACTGACTTCCAGAAAGTCTGTACTTTAAAAAAAAAAAAAAAAATCAGTGGTTTTGTCATGTCATTAACAAGTTTACAATTTTAGTGTTTATTTTGTTTTAGGTTATGACACAGGGATAAAGCTAGCCTTGCTTGTATTTTCAGTGCTTCCCTCCCTTTTCCATTCATCCTCCAACTTCCTAAGCAAAAAGGCTTTCCCTAATCTGTATACTTTTACTACTATATCATTCCTTTCTCTTGCCAGTCCAGAGTACCCATCAAAGGAAAGAAATTTGTTTTGAAGTTTTTTGCCAGCTAAAATTTCCTGACCCAATTCAAAGGAGGATTTTGCCTCCCTGATTCTGTTAAGTATTTCATTATGGTTCCAAAATACTGCTTTGCATCCCTCGAGGTTTTTAGAATGATATCATGGTTATCTTTAAAACTACAGCCTCAAGCCATTCTGTTTCCTTGACCTAAGAAGTCAGGTGGGGATAAGAGCATCATCATACTTTGTTTTTACAGAGATGAGATGAAATAATTCATGCTGTTGTTGTTAGGTGAGATCAAAAGTTTGTCAATTAAATTTCTTTGTTTGTAGCTTTAATGTGGAGTTTGTAAAGTACAGCCACTGCATAGCGAGACCCTGACTCCAAAATAAATAAATAATAGGTAAATAAAATGCTTTAATATTAAATTCAGATGTCTCACTTAAGCAGCAGTCCACTTCCTCTGGAGTGTAGATATCTGAAATGCTTAGTAAATTACTAAAAACTGAAACTCTCCACTTCATTTTGCTTGATAAGATGATTTCAAAGTACAAGAGTATAAAAGTTTGTTTCACTGCAATTTTTCCTACTGTGGAGCCAGTAGTGATTGTTTTTTTCTTCAGCCTAACTAATGCTGATTCACATGAACAGGGTAAAGGAAGTACTCTTCTTCTTTCCTACTTGATTAGATTTCCTTTCTTTCTCCTGATTTGGGTTGATGGTATTATGCTTGCCTCATAATGGATCTTTAAGCATACGACCCTCAACAAGCTTGTGAGTATAGTAACTCACTGCCTTAAAAGTTACTCTTTTTGTTTCCGTTAATTATAGAATATATGTGGTTGTTCTGCCAATTATAGACTGTTGGTAACCATAAAATCTTTTTTGTGGAGATTGGAAATATTTTTAAGAATTTCCAGCCCAATTTTTCTTATTATAGTTGAAGAAAATGAAGCCTAAAGAGAGTGTCTTGTGTACACCAACTGGCCACAGAGCTGAGGCTGGAGATCTTGTTTCTCAGCTCCCAGTTCAGTACTGTCCTTATTGCTGTGCTACCTTTCCTGGTAGGATATAAGAACAGGTGATTCTCAGCCGAGGGAATGTGAAATTTTATGATAGGATATACATACTCTAAAATCATGGGAAGCAAAATAATAGTTTAAATATGATTGGGAATCTTAGCAGTATTGAAATGGTTGTGTTTTTAACATATATTACTATTAATAAAGTATGGTATGCTTATTTTTACTGTTATGGTTATTTTATAAAGTAATTTTTGTGTAATTAAATGTTTTCATTAAAAATCTGAGTAAGTAAATGCATATAAAGTTTACTCTAACTTGAATATTTAAAGACTAGTTTCTGATCGATTTTTGTTTCTGAATAAACTCTTTCAGAAAGATGAGGTCTACCTTAATCTGGTGCTGGACTATGTTCCAGAAACAGTGTACAGAGTTGCCAGACACTATAGTCGAGCCAAACAGACGCTCCCTGTGATCTATGTCAAGGTATGTAAAAATGGAACAATTTCCCATTTTAAAAATATTTATCATGAGCCAGAGAGAATATTGGTTATATTTTAATCATATTATTAGCATTTAATAATTAGAAAAAACTGCAAAAGTATAAAGTTTTCTCAGATTCTTTTGTATAGTGCTAAGATGTGAAGCCTTTAGTCATATTAAAGCTACTTAGATAAATTGAGGTAGTCTTTTCACAGGTAATTAAGGATTTTAGTTCTGCTAACCATATATATTTTTATTTAATTTCCAGTATCTTGTGCCACAGACCAAAAATAACATCATATAAACTCACACATTAAATTATATAGTTGTACACTAAAATGTAATGTTTTATTGACATCTATAGATTTATTACATCTTGTAGCAAAAGTTTAAACTTTGGCAGCTTTAAGCATATACAGGTATTTAATTTATAGCATCTAGTTAGTACCATCTTATTTATTTGATAGAACTCATAGAGTAGGTAGGGGTTGCATAATTGTTATGAAAGTGGTAGACATTTAAAAACATTATTTTATTAACTATGACGCTATGAAATTTACTAGGAGTTAAGTTTGAAAGTTCAGGTATCTGATTGCTTAAATTTTACCCTTTATAGAAATTACTGTAGAAAATAAAGTGACATTAATTCTCAATGTCTTATGGGTCAAGTTTTGAAAATTTCCTTAATTGTTATAGTTTTAAACTTCATAATAATAAAATGATTACCAAAGTAGGAACATTAATAATAAAAGTTCTTTTAGAACTGGTAGCTAGATTATTTGGGCAAGTAGATCTGGGCTCTTACTGAATCAAGTGTTAGGGATTAAAGCTGATTCCAGCATCATTTTATTTGCAGCTATCAAAATTTGGTTGAGGTTGTGGTTAAATTTATAGTTGTAGGACTGTTAGAGTTTTTTTAAACTTTTTGTTTGTTTTTACTATATGTAAATACTTTATTGTGGTTTTAGAACAGCAAATCCTATTCTAGATAGTTGGCACAGTAGTATATCCCTTTGAACTCCCTAAGCCGACAGAAATCTATGAGCTGCTTAGTAGTATAGAAGGATGATGGTTTGGATTTGCCTGTACCATGGCTTTTATTATTGCCAGTGTATAGCATTGTCATGTTTATGAAAATCCCTAGATTTGGTTCCTGAAGACCTAGTTTTGAGGCCCAACATTTCTACTTGGTTACATCCTTTTAGAAAAGTCATGATCTGTTCTCTCCTTAGCTTCCATATTGGTAATATTTGACTTCGTTCCTTTCTAAAATATAGCTGTAAAATTGTCTTGTCAAATGAGCCTAACATATAAGAGAACATTTGGGGCTTTAAAGTAGAAGTAAAAGAAGATCTTAATGTCATCAAAAAATGGCATGATGGGGCCGGGGATTTAGCTCAGCGTTTTGGTGGCCTGCCTTGCAAGCGTAAGGACCTGAGTTCAGTCCCCGGTACCAAAAAAAAAAAAAAAAAAAAGGGCA